ACAGCTACAGCAGGTGAGTGGGCAGACCTACTGCATCGAGATCCACGAAAGACCTGGAACCGTTACGCAGGACCTAGAAGCAAGTGCGGAGAAAATGAATTGGTTCACACTAGCTCGCGAAATCGTATTGGATATTATATTATCTTGTGCAGTTTTTAAATCGTTACAATCTACCTCTCTACAAGTTGATAGCCAAATTAAGGAAAAGCACCATGGTGAATGGGGACGGGATCTTAAGCGTATGGCTATTCAGGTAATTACAGAACCCACTTATCAACTTTGTAACAATAGTCTAACTAATAATCTAAAGTTCTTCTTGTTGTTAATATCTTTTCATAAATTCTTATATTAACACTATATATATATATATATATATATATATATATATATATATATATATATATATATGTTGTTGTCATATATTATGTTGAAAACTCCTAATTGTGCCAAAACATTGTTCGGAATAAAGTGACTACCGTTATTATAATTTATGACGATTGAAAACCGGTCATAATGGAGCAGTTGCATTCACCTTTTCTAAAGCATAAACACTTACGGTAGCCATCATTTTTTATATTTTTCCCATCCAATACACTTTCTTCTATTTGATATGACTTTTTCTTCCAGGTTATTCTTTGCAAGCTGCTGTGATGCACAGCAACTTGTGCACGAGTTTCTACGATGACTGTTTGTCTCTCTGTAGATCAGAAATCAGGAAAATATTGTCATTCTGGCGATGAGAAACTAAACCGAAACACCCTCAAACTGCCACTCAATGTGCTCAGGAGATTCCGAGTCTTCACTTAACACCTTTGCCATCTGCGTATTACACGTCTACCAAAGTCATCTGTGACAAAGTCGAAACATCTGTCACAAGATGAAAGGAAGACCTGTATGAGTACGTCCATGATAAAATTAGGTAAGAATGAAGAGACTGGGCACTGTTGACGAACGTACAGAACTCATCATAGTCTCCAACACGCTCACAGGGTTTAAAATGCACAGCCTTTCTTGGTGTGATGTACTTACCTAGGACCCTTTCAGCTACTGACACTACCATGGGACGCAATAGCAGTCAATCTTCATATCCAGAAATACATCAAGGTTTGGGCAACGATAAGTGTAAATGTATCCCAAGACCTGACGGAGGGCGAATAGCTAGTCGAAACACTCACGACCACATATTAAACTTGCCTGCTCTTCTTGGTTTCACTGTCCCCAACCTTCTTTTATGCGTCTAGTGAACATAAAATCCATGACTTCAGACACTGGATTTTTCTTTTCTCTGGCTGCATTGCTTTCGCTTCCAGTTATTTCGCATGTTGCTGAAAGTATCTCCTGAACAAGAAACTGTCTTTCATCTTAAATATTATCTCAAACTTCGTACAAAAAGCAGACACTCAACAATATGAGGCCTTTATTTGAATGTTTTGAGCAATAGGGTAGCTAAATGGCCGATCGAATTATTTTGTTTTGCGTTCTAGGAGCCTATAAAGATTATGGATGGTGAACATTCTACTTCGCACAGTATCTCACTGAGACCATACTATACATTGGCTTTGGCACTGATAGGATGATATAGTATCCTATTACTGACGGATGCAGCCGTTGGTTCAAATTTCACTTTCTTCGATCACTATGTTCATGATCCTTACGTAAGTCGTGAGCGATTTGGAGCGTTAGGATCGTAAGCACAACACTGCACAAATTATCTGCCAGAATTAATCGGCAAGTGCTACGATATAATAACCTCACAGAGATCTTGCTCCTGTCAATCGGACATTCTTCAAAGGTGCAAGCGGTTTTACCAGTCACCTTCATGGTATTTAGCATGAGCATAGCACACACACTCTAGAAGGAACTTCACGTGGCCGTTAGTAGCTAATGGCAGTTTGACCTGCCTGAATTGAATCTTTAGTGGCAGCTGGAGGCCACCATGTAGTACATCTTCCGTAACTGTGCCAGAAGTTGGAACTACCTACAAACAGCTAGTGATCAGCACAAAGCTGAAGAAGACTGTCTCCATTATCGGGGTTTGTGACTAACCAATCTTCATTGGTCATCTAAGAGAATCTCCTAAGTCTAGATGCCTGATCTGTTGTGTACACAAGTCTCCAACTAGCACTGCAATGTGTTGTGCACATTTTACAGACTAGGTTACTCAATGGATTATAGGACTCATACCTAACTTCAAATGGGTTGCATTCAGCTGGAGCATAGACTAAAATGAAGCAGATATTGTTCCCCTCACCAGTTACCCATTACCCTTACTGAACTTTCTGGCGTAACAGAACACAGGTAGAGATCCGGTCGACAAGTGCTTTGACCACAGCATTTAGTATGCTACTGACATCAGCAAAGCCAGACGTCGATAAAACAGGTACTCGGAATACCTTACATTGAACAGACTTTCTAGCTGACAGAGAAAAATGTTGTTCGAAGTACAACACTAGGATTTTGTATCCGAGTCTTTGAGACACAGAATACACCAATGTTGGGGCTTTTTATAGTCCCACCAAAATCTTTTTGTAGTCCAATCTACAACAATGTCCGAATGTTGAAGGCAACCCACTTTTAAACGGTGCACCTTATTTCAGAATAGTTGGATCGGATATCACTTTGAGGGACAACTTTGTGGAAGAAACTGTTTAGTATCTGAAGAGCGTGCTGACAAACCAGAATGTTATTCTCAGACAAGCACGTAAATAAAACTGCATACAAATAAGATTTTGAAAAAGATAACGACTAAATAATACGGCTATTATTCAAGAATGTGATGGATGACAAATGAAATGGTTGGGTGGAGTTTTGCAACATAGTAGATTCGACATTTGATACAAAAACTCGGGAAGTATATTGTAGCTCTCACTTTCAATGTTTGTTTGTTGGCTGTGGTACAGTCTAGATATCCCGACTTCAGCAGATAGTTTTCTTAGGGGGAGACTCCTTGAACCTCTCATCTAGTTTGACCTGCAAAGCGGCGAAGCAACGCAAGGTGTTGTATCCCTATAGTTGGCAGTGACTAAACAAGGTCCGTAAGCCATTCATCTGTTTCAGTTCCTGGAGCCTATTTGCACCAATCGTATAGAGTTAAGGCTTCAAAATTCTTCTAGGTAAACTATTCAGATCCATCAATCTAATGATAAGAACCGAACAGGCACTACCACCACTTCGACCTTTGTTGCAACTTTCCCAACCCATGAAGATAGTGAACAGGACTTCTATGGCACAGGTTATGAACGCCTGACCATATGAGAAGATGATAAGAGTTATTCTACCTTTAGTGATACCAGGACCCTGGGGAAACGCTAGTGTTTAGAATCCATTTCTGTTTCAATGTACCACTGCCACAGAAACTTATAATAAAATAAACAGGGCCAGCTGATATTTTAAAGCAAAATATTTCCACAAATGGACATCACATGTCTTAAAAACCGAAAAAAAGTTCCCAGCCATTGTTTTTGGAGAATTTATTTCAAAGCTGGTCTATCAAGTGATAACAAACACAATGGACGGATAGTAGGTAGACAGATGTACCAAGAATGGATGAGATATGCGTGCGGTGAAGGCAGTTGGTATTTCCGCTGCCAACACCATTATAGATCACCTCTCGAAATACCAAAAGTAGGAAGTAGATTAGTTTAGACGTTGTTATTAACCTACAAATGACCACAAAGTCTAATGAACCTCTGCCGAAAGTCTGTCACATATAAGCCTTTTAGGGGAATTTCGATCAACTCTACCTCCATACTTTAAACAACCTTACTCCCAGCAATGGAGATTTGCAGAGCAAGGAGACTGTGGGTTTTCACGACTTTCACGCTAAGGTAACAGCTATAGTCAGGTTAGTGATTTTTTTTAACAATGGTACTTAATGGGGTCCTACAAATACTAGAAGCATTAGATATTCTACTAACCAATGTTTGTTGAATAAATGATTAGAAGAAACCATAAAAAATAAGCAGGTGGTCACTACAGCGAAGCATTAAGGTTGTCACCAGAAAGCAGTGTAGTATAATATCATCATCGTAAAAACAGCCGTACCTGCGCACAGCTGGTTTCAAAATACAACAATAATCCCCACTTCTATAAATCCCTGTAGCTCTAAATTACTTAGGCACTAAATATGCTATGGTCAACACCATATGATAATAGCTTGACAGTGAAGCATGCTTTTCAAATCTCAGTGTGGAAAAATAGGTTATTGGCTGAGATGATCCACTTCAAGCCAGTATAACACAAGTGAACATCATACATCCAAAAGGTTTGGGTAACCAGATAGTATTATAAGCCCTCATACTACACTGTGAGTCATAGCCCGGTATACAAACGTATAGGCGGATAATGAATCACATACCAGCAAAACTGGAGACTGTAAGTAACGTGACGGAATCGACTGCAGTGGCGGTACATTCATACCTTACAGTCAACAAAGTTGTAATACCATGTTTATCACTTTTGATATTGTCATATGGCTCTCTGCAACTGCTAACATTATGACTGTTTTTACCAGTTGTTGACACATAGGATAGTTATTTTTTCCTAACAATATTTGTGAAAATGTTTTTTAACATTAACAACACTGCGTTTACTGTTGATGAACAAAGTTGACAGAACTAACTGTAGTGCTCAAAACTAATATCTTCAGAACGTAATATGTCTACCGTCATTTTAAGTTTAGTGCCTACTACTTCAATCATGCAATAGCCGTTTACAGATCGACAGAAAAGTGATGAATAGGTTGTAGAGGATGGGTACATTCATGTGCAAGATTAAAGGAAATTACTCCTCAATAAAGCCTGAATAGGTAGGTAAATTGCCAACTTAACGTGCAATTCTGCAGGGACTAATATCGAACCTGAAATGATGCAAAGCACCAGGGCCTGACAGTTTGCCACCTGAGGTTTTCAAGAGAGGTAGGAAATCGGAAGATGGTGAATACCACCTTGAAGTAATTGGTTTGTTATGTTACACCTCTTGCCATAGGAACAGAAAGATGTTGGTTAATTCCAATCTATATTTGTAGCCTACTGTATTGTACAAGAATTTGACACCTGAAGTTTCGATCTTTAGAAGTTTCAATGAATTTGCTTATTCCCTCATTTTACTTGTCTTATGAATTTTCCGAGTATCTCTTCAAGGTAAATGTAGCTTGTTTTTTTACTGAGATTGTCATACACATTTCCAATGCCTTCAAGTTAATGAAGTGAAACTCTAACGAATGTCTCATTTGATAATATAATATAACAAACACAAAAAATATCTAACTCAATCCCAATAGCCGTCGATAAGCTGGTGTAACTCCCCTTCCAAAATTTACTTTTTGGACTTCTTTCCTTTTTTCATACTAGATTTTGTGCTTTTCTTTCTCTTTCTATCATTTGATCCACTTGGAGATTGAAACAAAGAGTCGAAAATGTTTGTCGATGACTTTTTCTTCACACCTTTAATTTTTAATTGATGTTTCTTATTTAATTTGGGATCAGACGCTTTACATTGAACTGTTGCAGTATTCAACTTCTTTTCCGTGTTAAATCAAATGAGGATTTGTCTTCAACGCCTGGTCTTTATCGATTGTAAACTCGGGATCAGGTGAGTCAGTAGACATAGGAATTGGATGATTACCTGACGATTTGTCCTTATAAGGTGTTAGATTATTATTTATCTCCATGTCGCACACAGCAGAAAACTGTTGTTTGGCACTTTTCATTGATGCCTGTGTGAATAAGAGATGAAATACAATCTTAGGATAGTTGCAGTTAGTATGAAAGTCATTGTAATTGACAGTTTTATAATAAGTACGGATATTAACTGGAAATGGATGTTTTTTATTATACTTACTACTGGCTTTAGCTTGAATAATGAAGTGTGTTTTAAAAAAATACTTAAGAGCGAAATTCTACTATTGGTAAACATTCTTTCTGAAGGAAGGATAGACTTGTCCGTCATACTTTAAACAGTGTTTCGTTTATTATTTATTGTTATTTCTCACAATCAGTACAGTTATTAGCCCTTTTGAATGTTAGACACATGTGAATAACAGAACAGAAACAGGGATTTTCTAGAAGTTTAGTATCATTTTGTTTTTTAAGTTTTGATTGTTGCATTTAATACAACTAGGGAGAAAGAAACCAGAAACCATAACTATTCTTTCGAATTTCCTTACACATTTTAAAATGTTTTATTTGTTAAAGATGACGCGATAGGATCTGAATGTTTACAATCCCAAAATCACTTTTACCTTGTAATTTTTTCATTTCGATAGTTAGTGGAGGACCAATAATAATAATAATAATAATAACAATGATGATAACGGCAGGTAATAATAATAATGACAAGCAAAAGTACACCTTATACGATGGGTAATAGTAATAATAATAATAGTAGTAACAATAAGTAACAATGACGATGACAATAATAAGTAATGATAATAAGCGATGGTACTAATAACAAGTAAAAATAAACATACGATGAGTGATAATAATAATCCATCCTATTGCTGAATTAACGTGTCTGAAAACAGAGTGAATAATATGGATTTATTAAGCTCTGAATGTGGTTTTCAAAAATCTAACTGTCAGTTATTTCAGGTATCGGAGTTCGTTGAAAACTACTGCATAACACAAACGTTTTCCTATCCCTTGTGTTTCACACTAAGTTGATTCAATTTCGCGTTTTGTAGAACTACATAGTATTTGCTTAAGATAGTCAACTATCGCTTAGTGACATACAAGTTCGAATCCTGTTTCATATACTCAGACTTGATAGGTCATCCACCAGTCTGTAATTATTTGCTCAGATAAATACGTAACTGAAGGTCCATAATCAGAGGGAAATAAATATTGCACGACTTACTTTCTTCTTGCTTTTGACAACGAAATTAACATAGATAGGTTCTCCATGTACGAATGTCCCTTGCCTCATTTCAAAATCTCTTAGCGCACAAATACGCGATTTGTAAACTAGCGTACAGAACCTTGATAGATAAGAATTAATGCAATAGAAAACAATATTTAACATAAGATACGTCACTGACACTTCATAAACGTATGAAACAAATTTACTAGCTTAATATTTACACACATCACACTGGCTTGTAAACTGCTGTAGATGACCAATTTGTGGAAAGGGGGTTGACGCTATTTAGTAGACCTAGAAGTAAAATAAACTAACAAATAATTTGAAAGGAAGGTATAAACGACTCGGAGAGGGAACCTTAGTACGTTAAAGTATGTAAAATTTTGCTGACACAAAACACTTCCATCAAGTTAAAGTCAATGTCAGAAGTCACAATGTGAAGATACCTTACATTATTGATAAGAACGAAAAAATTCTACCAGGGAGATTATCTACCTTATCTTAACAATATCCGTTTCTTGAATAACTCATGCATTTTGAGTCTCAGAATGAAATCCTCTCGAAAGTGGGAATTATTTTAAGCATCCCAACGTCAATTGAAACTGCTTTATCGCTTGATACTGATCAAGGTACACAAAAAAACAAACTAAGGCTGTTGAAATAAGAATTCTGATTCCTGGATCAAAGTAAAACGGTACTAATGACTCTGTTTGATAGCTTAAAACGCTAGTTCAGCATACCCTTAACCAAGGAATCTGTTCCAGAATCTGTTTCTTCAGAGAATGCCTATTTTGCTAGTACCCTCTGCCTTGAAAATTTTAACCAACCTTCATTTTCAAATCCATCATCCTCTCATATACTTTTGTGTAGTCCGACATTACTCTTTTCAAAAACACTTTTTCCATGCATGCTACTGTAAAGTGGGGTAACGTGAACCGGTGTGTTTCCTTCCAAAACCCAAGTGATAATGCATTTTACATCATAACGTAAGTGTTGTGAGTTTCCGATGCTCACTTAGTGAGTTTACAGAGATCCAGTAGCCAACTAGTGTAAACTCGCTGGTTAAAATGCAGCATTAGGCTGTACAACAGAAAGCGCTGCGTACCTGTAAACATCCAGGTTTGTGCTGCAAAAAAGAACAGAAAAACATATCATTCATGGGACATATCTGTAGTCCATGCCTACTTCAGCACCGACTGCAATCCCGACAAAACAAAGAATCCCACCCAAAAGCTGTCAATTTTGCCATACAAAGACCTAACATTCAGATAAAGATGGTGGCCTGGACCCGCAAGTAAGAGAGCTGAGTCAATCCGAAAGGCATCCTGGAGGTATCTACGGAATCCCATGCAGATGAACCGATAGTGATCACTGTATCTTGCACTCTTCTCCTCAAAATCTCTTTTTTCTGACCAGCAGAGACACCGTTTCACATGACTTTGCCGATATCGCATCAGCGATAAATCATATTGCTATAAGGATCGGTGGACGACTGCTGCTTTTTCTGGAGTACCTGTTTAGACTCCAACCGTGCGTTAGTACGTGTACGTATATCCTTGTGCATTACAGGTCGCAGTAAACAGAAGACACTAAAACCCGTGCGTGCACGATTGCAAAATGCGAATGTCATGTGCGTATTTGGAGAGCATGATAGCACACCTCCACCAATACTTATAGTAACAGGATTTATCGTTGGTGCGATGTCAGTGAAAGTCTAGTGAGACAGTGTCTCTGCTTACATCTGAAGCTAGTGCTGGTCAGAAGAGATTATGAGGAAAAGAGTGCAAGATACGGTGATCATTATCGGTTCATCTGCAGGGGATTACGTAGATACTTTCAGGATGTCTTTTCTGATTGGCTCAGCTTCCCTACTTGAGCGCTAAATTCACCTGCGATTAAGATTACATCTGGACGTTCTGCTTTCAGTAGGAAAATTGATAACTTTTAAAATAATTTATCCTGCCCATCATTCGAACTGAAGTCAGTGGGTGTGCAGACGGAGATTACGAACAGCCATCGACTAATCTCAATCCTTCCCAGAACTTACAGATTCATTTATTCGAATGGCATATAGACGGTTGTTGGCTGTTATTTATTCCAGGTGCAAGCTTTCCGCTCTACAAATGTATGCTGTTCCTACACTGGGTCCAAAAGAGCAAACCATTGGGTCCCCAGACACTCGTTAAATGGATTTTGAAGATACATCAGATTGGCCAGGTGAGGTCAAGTGAACAACTATATTCAGGTTTTCTTTACGTGTCTCAAAAGTATAGCACACATAAATGACCGGCGATTTCAGAGTTCAGGTGAGCGATGTCTGCTGGCTATTTTCGCATAGAGTTCAAACGCTGAAAATCCCGATGTGAAACCGACAGCAGCGACTTAGGAGACTAGGAATTAAGTCTCAATGACTTGGATCGTTGGCAGTGGTCACAGAGTGAGAGGTTGGTGGAGTTGTAAAAGGCTTAATATTGGTACAAAGAAGTGATGGCAAAGGAGGAGATATAGGTAAGGAGCACAGGTTATGTTTTATTGAATAGTGTATATCACTAGAAGCGTGTGGACGGTTGTCACCCTCCTGTTGCCCAAACGGAAGTTGTTTCTGCAGAGTACCTGAAATGAAACGGTTCACGTGACCGCAGAGGTCATGGAATATCTACTTGACGTGTTACACACAGCCTTTTTGGATTGTCGCTAAGCGGTTTGACAGTTTTAACACCGGATGCAATAAACTCATACCGCCTGCACTGGAAGACCAAACGGTAGAGAGAAGTGCACATAGAAAATCTTATCGACTAAAAATGACTTAGGTTTAGAAGTATTTGTAATTTCATAAGTTAACAGACAATAAAAAAGAAACGTGCAATTTGAGCCCACATTCATACTTACCCCCGACAGGAACCGTCATCATATGTTGGCATACGGATACCAACAGCCTTCGGAAATACTTGAGCTAAGTCAAAACGAGTGGTGGCACGAGGTAACTGAGTTACATGTAGACTACGCCAATCGAAATCTGAAAGCTGTCTTTGAGATGGTTCCACCCATTTGCTAGAATCAATACCACCAGGTCCATGTGGTGAACAAATTTCAACAATGATCTGTTTACCAGCCAACAGTTTATCAGCAACTGACTTTTGGGCAGCGGACATTTCATCGTGATTGCGAAACCTTACGAAACCATATCTATGGCGAAACAGGAAACAGGTTAAAATATTGCACACTGTATCTCCCATCAAAATTCCTCAGTCTTAAGCCAACAAAAATACACATATATCAAAACAGGATTACAATTAGTTTGATGGTTAACTAAGTTTATTACTTCCACTAATTTGTTACCATTCTGCAATACGTCTGATTTCTGAGTCAATAATCATGTCATATCGCGGTATATCTTCAAGCTATTAACACAATACTATTTACTGCACACACACCTTTACTAGTAGTTTTGTTTGAAAACTTGTTAGATTTTTAAAAACGGATGGTATGAAATCAAAATGCTACTGCTTGTGTGAGTTACATCTCCCTCCCAGTAACTGACGTATTATTACGAAATTACCCCAGCCATGAGAAAATGAGTTACTATATTGCACAGTTAAAAACCAGATGCAATAGAGTGGCATTCAGGAAGTAACTTGTGCAAACTTGCTGTGAATCTTGAAATGTAGCCTATCTTTAACATATCTAAAAATCATTATTGATTAAAACTAAATCCCATACATTTTCGGGCGTAAACAAGTCTATATATGACTAAGTGATAAAAGCTATTTGATTCATCAACCTTAAAAGGTAAAAGATAGGCATTGTATTGATTGGTCACGGGAGTGCAACCAATTTCATGTTGTCCAGTCGTGAGTGCAGACAGAATCCTATCGATCATATCTGCAATGTGACAACCAAGCTAGGAAGCTCAGCATCGTGGTGCACACTAGTAAATGTTAGTTAGTTCGAGGCGATAGGCATCACACAGTATGTGTGGCTAGTTACCTAATAGATGTGAATGCTTAGTTGTTGTTTTTTTACCCGCATCCAGCCATGTGAGATAGAAAATACAGGTGTAAAACTTGGGTACTGTGGTAGGATTTAATCCTATATTAGGTTTGTTTATTTGATTTGTAACACACAGTGATCTAGTATTATTTACTTGATGACGTTTCGAGCATAAATGATTATTGCTCATAATCATATCAATGTAATCACACTACTTTCGACATTTGATTTTTATAGTTATGTCACTTTGTATGATTTGTTTTTTATTGGTAGCAAAATTTTCCATATCTCTGGTATAGGTGTTGCGTCATTCCTATTACATGTGTTGTGTGTTGATTCGATGAACAAAGATTCAGTAATCAATCTCTCTCTCCACCTAATTATCTTGGACCTAAGTACAGTGGCTTTATCCCACCCTACTGGGTGGCTGTGTGTGTTAATGCATGCATAGCAATAACCGAGTTTTTTTCTAGATTATTGATATTATTTAGGTCTGTCATTCTATATTTAGCTAAATTCCTGTTTGGCTATTCTAACTGACCCCTGACGACTAGTTTGACCTGTATACTTGACCTCACTGCCACTACATGGAATTTGATAATAGACTATATTATTTTGCTTAATTGGTTCTATCGGATCCTTAAGCCAGCTGACAAAGCTTACCTCTGAGTGAGTTTGTAGGTTTAAATGCCACCCTAATTCCAGCTTTGTTGAGGATCCTATGTAAAGTTTCTGGTGTTTTACTCTTATACTAAATAAGATCAATAATCTAGAAAAAAACTCGGTTATTGCTATGCATGCATTAACACACAGCCACCCAGTAGGGTGGGATAAAGCCACTGTACTCAAGTCCAATATAATTAGGTGGAGAGAGAGATTGATTACTGAATCTTTGTTCATTGGACCAACACACAACACATGTAATGGAAATGATGCAACACCTATACCAGAGATATGGAAAATTTTGCTACCAATAAAAAACAAATCATACAAAGTGACACAACTATAGAAATCAAATGTCGAAAGTAGTGTGATTACATTGATATGATTATGAGCAATAATCATTTATGCTCGAAATGTCATCAAGTAAATAATACTAGATCACTGTGTGTTACAAATTAAATAAGCAAATCTAATATGGAATAGAAAATTTTTGCATGAAACTTTGAATATTTGATTGCACTTACTGCCAGACGTATCAGGGTTAGAAAGTGAAAGTTGCTGTTTGAAATAATTGTCTAGCCTCACGCAAGTTAGTATTTCACGCTTTACCTCGAACATCATGTCAATTGCTTTTTACATGCGAATTTAGAAAAAACTAAAAGTAAAAATATGGTGATCTGAAAGCAAAGGTCACAATGCTAATAAACTGAGCTACAGATCAAAGAAAAAAGGTTAGGTAATCTTCGCGTTAAACACTTAAATCAGTGATTGGTAAATACAAAACTGTGTTGGACTGATATTTAACAACTGCGTATCAAGCACTACTAAGTGATTACGAATCGAAACGTAGTTGAACTCACCTAGTACTGCGCTGGTATGGTATACGTACACTGACTGCTGATGGGAAAAGATCCCTGACCACACTTGCAGGACAATTTCTTGGCAATGGACGCACAATTAGTGTGTACTGATACATTTCAGCTTTGAACATATGAGAGAGAAAAATAGTCAATTTACAGCAACGCCACTAAAAACACAAATATGTTCAGTAAGACAGATTATGTGAAGAATGCCCTTAAGAACTACGTGCGATTTTTAGAAAGAAAATATCAAGCAAAAAGATAAATGTTATAGTACGGTTTCTTTGAAAGAAATGTCTTCTCTTCTGAGAACTGTGAAACTAAACAAAATTGACCTTAAAAAGTTTGACAAAATATAAATTGCTGACTGATAAGCAAATGTATGGATAAGCACGGTTACTTTCTTGGTTGCACCCAACTCTTGAAGTCATGCATAAATGAAAATTGGTATCAGCAATTGTTCGGTTAGGCAATAATAAAACATTATATATTCCAGACCATAGATTACGACAAATTTGCGAGATCATTGTGAATATTTGATTCTGTTACGCGTTGAACTACGTCAGTTTACACAAACGTCGTCAGGTGAACAAAAAGAATGTTATGGTTTATTTGGGAAAACAGCGATCGAAAACACGATCCTTCGATAAGGAACTGGTGTTCCTAAAATAACGAATGTTCATTACTTTTTTAGATTATGATATAATCCACTTTCAATTTTAAGACAGTAGACAAACTCAAGATACTTAGCGCCTAGTTTACAACTAAAGTTAAAAACTTTGGATAATGATAATGTCTTTATCAAGTCAACTTTCAGTGAACCTTAGCAGAGGAAATGTAAACTAGGGGTAAAGATTATTGAGTTGAGGTAAATTTAAAATCTTGCGATTACTTTGAAAGAAATTGTGTATTCACTATTCTGAACGGGTACCCAAAGTTCCTTGTCGAACTTGAGAAGCTAAAAATAATCGAAACAACCCGACTAACTTTCTTGAGATTAGGAATTACAACTTCCTGCACAGAACTTCCATCCCTTGAACACAATATCACCATAGAGAGAAGCTGTTCAGATATTACACCATGAACTTCAAACATGAAAAATATACAGATTTCGAGATTAATGAACCTTATTTGTGGAATAAATAAATGAAAGAACAAGCATCAATGCTGAAGAAAATCCAATCGTATGCCATGAGACCATAATATTTAGCAGAATGGACATCTAACTTGACAGACTAAATGAAAAAACGATGTAATTTATAACGTAAGATTGTTTCACCGAACAAAAAAAATAGGTTTTTACGATATTAATTGTGCAAAGGATGGCAATAACAAGATTTGCTACAATTACCTAGACGGTTTCGAACTGCTTCTAATTTTTTCTCATCATCATCCAAGGTTGATACATAACCGGTACGTTTTGGAAATACAATACTCGATGATGTACGTGGTTCCTGGAAATGCATAACAAAATATTATCAGAAAGATAGTAATTTGATTCAACGTCTTCCCTGAAAAAGACTGCAAACAAACAAATACGTCTAATATTTGTAAACAGGGATTTAACAAGACACAAGTTGACAGCGTCAAGACGTGGCTTAATGACGCTGTTTTGCGCTTATTGTAATGAAAGTGGTAGTCTTTCCGCTTAGTTACCTTGAAATTTGTTTGAAAGACATATGAACGTTCAAAGCACACCTATTTAACATAATGCCAATAAGTGACTACATACACACTACAATGAAGACACATCAGCCAGCCATAATATATTAAAGTTTATGGGACAATTTTATAAAGCCAAACAATGAAAAGCAACTGTTAATGTAACTAATGAATTAAAACAGCTTTGGATATGATACATTACCTTCGGCTCCGGTTTCGGAATAGAAGCTCTAGCAGCTTTTTGTAGTTTCACTATTTCTCGTTTTCGTTGCCGTTTCCTCTGAGATCTGCTCATTTTTACAGAGTCCATCTACTAGTTAGAAATAGAATTTTTACAACAGGAGTAAAACCATAATACACAAGCAGAAACAATAACATTTAATATACAAAAGTTACCAAATAGTAATTAAAACATCATAAACTTTTTAATTACATAGTCTCAGTAGTATAAGAACGAAACGCACTCAGCCATCTTGCGCAAATTCATGCAATAAGTAAAGAGCCACACGTTGTGTGAGGGGTAGTTGTACCAATCATCTGCCCAAACCTCGGTGGTCGAGTGAAGTTCGAACCCATGACTCACAGGTTGGTAGTCATTTCCCTTAAACCACCGAACGATAGCTCCACATCAGTGTAAGGGTAGAATTTGTATATCGCAGTTGAGTACAGCCGAGTAGCAAATAAGTATACTTAGATATAGAACACAGTACTATTTAGTGGGTGGAGTTTCGAGCACAACGAATTGCACATTACCATACCGAAGTAGTCGCACATCACTCAATAAGTGACTTTCTAGTTTGAACTTGCCATTTCTTGGTTTGAATAGAAGTAGGGTTTTCTAGAGTGTGTGTTGTATCATTTCTGTTGCATGTTTTGAACAATTATTCTGTGAAAGATTTGGCAATACATCTCTCCACTTCGTAATTTAAATATATTGGTCCATAGTATTGTCTCACTGTTTCACTACTTTGTGATTGTGTCAGAGTATTTATTGTAATAGAGCTGAGTTTTATTCAAGGTTATTTGTCTGATTCAGATCTATTACTCCAAACTTAGCTACGTTTCCATGCTTTATTGACCCTGATCACTTTGTTCGGTCTGTGTGATCGGTCCCATAGCCGTTGAACAGTATTTGGTAGAATTGTTTCGCTTATTAAAATCCAAAGGACTTGAAAATCAACAAAGTTTTTCTCTCATTGAGTTCGCAAGCTTGAATGCTGATCCTGTAAGGAATTCTACATAGTTTCTGGTCCTCTTCCTCCTCTCCAGGATAATAATATAAAAACCTTAAATTCCCTCAAAGCAGTTTATTAGTCAGTACTAACTCTCTTCTTGTCTGTTGTGAATTCCCTGATAAACTCTGAAGGATAGTTGCTAGGTCGTAGTATTTTATTAACCACTTCCTTTTCCTATTTAGGCTCTTTTATTCTAATAAATTTCAAACTCGACCAAATAAATATTGCAACAAACGTGCTTTACCTGATTTCGAATTACCTGACCAGAATTTTAAATCTTGATTATAATGTCCTCATACTACTCACTATAATAAGAGGGACAAATAGCAAGTAACTCCTCTCAAAACCAAAATTGGGAGTCACTATGATGAGAAGTCTGATACTCACTCCTAAATACAGGTTTACAGTAGGAATTTGAAAAGAGCAAAATACTATCTTGTCTGTTAGACATTTTACTGAAGTCAGGTGAGAGTTAAGTTCTCTTGAATGTGACCACTTGGAATTATATCATTTGTCTAAGTCGGTCAAAACTTTATCATAGCGTTACGTGCCACATGTTTTACTGCAGCAAAACACAAAACAATATGAGCATCAAAAGATGCATGACACTGACAAAAAGAGGGAAGAATGAATTATGAGATGGCAAGAGAAAGAGTCATATAAGGTAAATCAAATACGCTTCCAGCTCTTTATTACTGTTGCTTGAAAGCAGAATACAAGATTAAAGCATGACTATCACTTGTTGCGACTAAGTCGTATACGAGTACTCGTTAAAACGATTAATCAGTCGATGCGGTTATAAGACTTCCATGGCTTACGTAGCTGAGATGGATGTATTATGCATACCTAGTTACTGCATATTCCGTCGTAAAATGTTAGCTGATGTAGGTTTAGGTTGGAAAATAGTTAGAGTTGGTCAAATTAAAGCAGGAGATCAGTCCATGAAGTTTGTTTGTTTGAGTCGTGTAGGGAAGTGTAGGCTTTCCGGTTTGAGTCCGCGTGACAATTGAAAACAATGGTTGGAGACTACGTGATGTGGCTTATAATCAATTGCAGTGATCCATATGTGTTCACACATTATCTTCACCTTAGTCAGAGTCTCCAGTTTCACTGTTATCTCATTCCTTCTTGTTTTCGTTTCACGAATTTCGAACACTTTTGACTGCTTTCTGTTTCATTTCTCCTTTTCATCGTGGTGTATTTTAGCCTGATGTGCTTATATGAGGTGTAGTAACTTGGACTGTGGCGCAATAACGCCAAGTCTCATGTTGACGCTGACTGACCACTTCGTCGTGTGGATTTTATCTAAACAATTGTGGTGCACTAACCAACGAAATCCTATTTATAAACTACCTATTTGGGTTTTTCAGACAGTCTCAGAGATAATGAATCAAATTGTAACTGTCAGGAAATCCAGATTCCGAAGCAAAAATCTACTAAGTCTCAGCTTCCAGACAGTTCAAAAGTGAATATGAAAGTGCAAATGTTGTGTACTTCGCTGTTCACGATGACCTAAGCAATAAAACTTGTAATGTCATCCGTGGCCAACTTCGCTATTGTTTCACAGCCATCGACCCATCCAAATCAATATAGGACCAGGCATTACTGCGTAACGGTCCGAGGTGCCACACCTCAAATCAATACATCAAGTAAAAAGACAATGAAGTGCAAGATGAAGATAAAAAAACTCAGTCCAAAGAAATACAAAGTACTCAAAGAGAGAGAAGAAGAATGAGATAATGGTGAATTTCGGTATAATGTTTGAGATGAGGATGTGTGTGGATACATCTGTGCCACTGACATCAGTTCCGAGCCATATCACCCAGAGTCTCCAACCACTGGTTTCTCTTTTCCCATGGACCCCAGCCGACTAGTCTACATCGCCCAACATGGCTTAAACCAACAGTCAATGACTTCATACACTGATGCCACGTTTTAGTCTGGCCACCTCGGGCCTTTTTCCAGTCTGGACCTACTTCGACCAACACTGTGTGACGAGGCAGACGGTAGCTAAGCATATGTCACAAACTTCTCAGTCGAAGAAGGTTCATAGCCGTATTAACTGTCTAGCCTCCCCTCCCTAAAACACTACTCCTGAGGTCACTTTAGCGTTACTCAAGTGGTGACACCACGGAATACGGCCTATACTACGAAGGCAACGATAGTCAAGCACTTGAAGCTTTCTCATGTCTTCCACCCTCAATGATCATGTTTCACGACCATACAGTAGAACAGATCAGACTGCTGTGCAGTACACGCCACCCTTAATAGACAATCGGATATCACGACGGCGCGACAGGTGGTGTAAGTCTGAGAAAGCTGGCCGAGCTTTTTGTATCCGTGCAGAGGTTTCATCGGCCACTGACCCACTAGGGTAGGACTCATCCTACTTCCCAGGTAAGTGAAGTGGTCGACACACTCAACCACTTCACTCTCCATTGTTAGCCGCGGTGAGGCACTGTTGAAGACCAATCCCGGAGGAACAATTTTCATTTGGGTGATGAGAAACGCATCCCAAGTATTTCCAAATCGCCACTCAGTGTTCAGAAAACTCTGCATCTTGTCAGCGTCTTCACCTAGCAGGACCATGTCATCTACGTACTCTAGTTCTAACAAAAATACTCCTTTGATAAGGTCAACCTCTGTGTAGTTACGTAACGAAAGGGAGACCTACATGAGAATATCAATGATGACATTGAATAAGAATGGAGAGTGGGCAACCTCGATGGACGCCACTCGACGAGTTGTTTTACAGTACACCTCATTTACTTATTTATTAGTTATAATATTAGTGTAGCAGATGGTTAAGGGACAACAACATACAAAGAATTACACTGTACGCAACTTCTTCATAAAAACGAAGTGACTTTCCAAAAATGTACCCTAGGCATAAAAGCGGTATCTTGTCAATCCACAAATCTACTCAGTCAGTAAGAAAACTAGTAAGTTAGGCAACAAACCTGGAAAGTATAAACATTAATCTATTTTTGTATCGTTTTGTGAAACTACCACTCAGTAGTGAGGCAACAATAAATTTACGGGCATTTCATGATGCTTTAAAGAATGTTTAATATTATCTGTTCGGCTCCACATAACTCGTAAAAACGTGGGTAGCAAGAAATATTGTTACCTATCTGCACAATGAAAACCACACTTACCGCCTTAATACCTCTGGAAGAGGAATGTTTTTTTTCTTCTTCGTGTAAGACTTCATTTTCTGCATCACTGTTTTCCACATTCATAGGCATTTCAAACTGGTGTTCAGGTGAAGGTTTTGTCAAAAAACTACTCGATTCACCAACCAGTGTGAGGTCGGATTTCACATGTTTCTACCATAAAATAAAAAGATTTTGATGACTGTCACAATACATACAGCTGATTACGAACTGTGGAACTGCGTACATTTGCTGACAATTCAACTGAATCAAAAGCACAACAAAAGTCTAATGAAAATCAAATCCTTTTAATAAAATTAATGTGGTGGTTTTCAGCAGTCATATTTAAAATATGAAAATATAAATGTATGTCGATGGACTCAACGATACTGTTCATTAATCGTATATGAATTGAGCCATTTTCATTTTAATATGCTCAGGAGTATTTCCGTTATATAGAAACATCTTATAAGTAAGTTTACATTCAATGCATCCAATTATAAGGTAGCACTTATCATGGATTGAAATCAGTTGGAGAACCATTGAAAACTTGCAAGCACTGGACAGCTGTTTCGTTGTACTATGGGACTCCCTTGCATTACGCACCCACGATCCTGCCAAAGACCAAACTCAGGGACTTTAGGTTTCAGGGATTAACGCTTGATGAATAATAGTTTTAAAAACAAAATCCCCATAAACCTTAAACTGCATGTCTAGTTATATCAAGATATTTTGCATAGCTTCTATCAATGAGAATGAAAGAGCGACCTATTGGTTTAGGAGCTTTAGAAGAAGTATGATATATCCTTGTATTTGAGGGAAGACGATCTACCTGAGGATCAACCTATAGAAAGCCTACTTGGACAGGACAGTACCTGAGTTTCTACAGCTTTTGACCAATGAAATATAGGACAGGCTTAGTAAGATGCTTATTTAATAGGATGGTCATCTTCCTCACTGTTTACCAATTTATATGTATGTGTGGGCACATATACATAGGGAGGAGTAATCGTGCTATGCAGAATAGGGTGGGTGAACATACATCTAAATGGCTTGAAAAAAGATTAAACACACAAACTCATAAGTGCGGGTGACAGATGTCCAACTTCATATACAGCAAAAGATATCGAAATGAATCATAAGGTTAGTACGAAAGCAACATTTAAGATACTATGTACGAACAGTCAGGGGCGCATACTGAAATTTGCCGAAGCTTTAGCCATTCGTAAACTTAAGCTCCCATTGTGTACAAAAACAATTAACTGTTTCACCTAATTTACCTTGGCAATCCTTATCGGATTATATTACTAGTGTTACAACCGTTTCATAGACAGTACATGTGACCCTTCATTTTCATGCATAAATTGATTTGACAAGTAAGTGTGATCAGATTTTTCGAAATGTATTGGGTAAATACATCACACTTTTCGGATAATTTTCGTCATTCAATAACGTTATTGGAATTTATCAAAGGGACTAATTGTTTCAAGTAATTTTTATGTTTTGCATCGTGCATATTTCACGACTACTGTAAAACAGAAACATTTATGTGGTATTTATGTAACTGTACTTGATCTGAGGATACCAGTACGCTTTGTGTAATATGGGGTTTAAGGGTAACAACCACTAATGAAGTATAAGAGATATCACACTAATAAGTACTTGATACAGATCAACTTTCAGCAATATTAAATTATAATGCCTCGTGAACCGCAGTTAGGTATACACTTTAAGACAGTATTAATCAGCAGTTGGTGAATTCATGAACTAGTACTTTGTTTTTAACCAGACTACTTGCTTACTCATCGTCACCTAACTTTACTTTCAGTGGTGTTCTAACGTGCAAAACACGCCACTGTGGTTACAGTTAGTGCCTGTTTACAAAACCTACGAATGACTTACATTCCTTGACTACAACTCGACTTCTGTGCCCAACATTTCTTCGAATAATCTCACTCAATATGAGTAGTACTTCAAAGACAATCGTTGTGGACTAGTAAACGAAAATGCCACAATACATTGTAACATAGGCTTTGGTAGAGAGCTGGATGATTTGTTGATGTTACGGTTGCAAACTAGGTGATTATCAGTGGGTGAGGAAACTATTTGAAATGAAATCCTGCATAAAAAAGCACTCTATGCGTAAAAGAGACATCTCATACGTATGCCAATACATGTATTACGCTGTTGTTGTCGTGACTATGCTGCGATGACCATTGATTATGCCAACCGGTTCCTTATTATAGTTCCTCATAATTTAAATCAGGACAAGAAGCACGGACCATCCTAATAGCTAACAAAGGAATAAAAACAATTTCAATTCATTACATTCATAAAATTTTGCTACTGTACTCATAAGGTATAACTACAGTGACCTAAAATTGACCCAAATATTCGGTTGGTTTGTCACACTAAGAATTATTATAATCATTAGAACACAAGCATGTTACAACAAAAGGCACCGAGAAATGCGCCACACAAAATATAACGCTATTTCAAAAGAGGGAAGCGGATAAAATAAAAACACAAGAACAAAATGACCAGAAGGGCAGTCAGGTACGAAACATGCAAAACAAAACGATCATTACTTTTCAGCAACAGAAGATAGAAGAAAGCTACACCATGACCGCCACTGGTTTCGACTCTGAGCTTTATCTGATAACGTCTCAAGCTACTAAGTTAAGTGATCTCTCGGAAACCACCCAGGGAGATGTTAACTCGACACAACTAATTCTAATCCCACAGTACGAAGTCATATACTGACCACTCTTCTGCTTCTTCCATTGAGTTTCAGAGCTACCAAGCAATGAACGGAATGGAAGCCGTTGAGATATGTGTAGCACATGTCCAAGCCAACGAAGCCGGTGTTTCCAGATGACTTCACTCATTGAATGATGATCTCCATCATGACCACACAAGCTATCGTACCTCAGAATTACTTACTCGGTGTTGCCATCGGATGCGAGCAATCCTACGGAGCCAACGATGATCAGTATGATACCAGCCAATATTTTTGACACGACTGACAATAGACTAGCACCCCAAGGGTTGTCACATACATTAGGTAGACCCTATCTAAGGATGACGGCCTCACTTCAGCATTCCAGGCGACTTAAAAGACTTCATCGGCGTACCGACCACCTTACATACCGTCTTACAGACACCAGGCCCCTTGCTACTAATGGCTCGGATGAACTTGAACAGCTTCTGATTATTGCCAGATGCAGCTGCTGCTTCTATCTCACTCGAACGTTCTGACCACCAAGCCTCACGCTCCCTGCGTAAGTGTTGTGTAATAATTCGCATAAGAGACCGACGCACACCACTGCACCCGCTATCCGCCAGGATGGTCCGACGGATGTCAAGAAGTTGCAGGAAGCTAGCAAAGAGCCAGTGTTTGTTGGCGGAACGTTCTTCCAAGCTGCGAGCAGCTTTATTCGCCATTTTTATAGTGTTTTGTAAGTGCATCCAATGCTCGTTTACACTTTGTGAAGGATCAGCAGCTAGCCTAAAAAGCAACTCCAACTGATATTTAGCTGCAATTTAAGGTGCAACTAACCGGCCTGCATCGTCCTGTTTAGGACGACGATTTTGATGATCGTCAAACGCAAGACGAACTTAACACACACAAAGCATAACCACAGTCTACGCAAGTACTCCAAATCAAGCGGCAGTCCCACACGCACCCACACCATCGTTACCACATTGCAATATGACCTATTTCAGTACACGATTGAGTGTCAGCGCAAAGACAAGAAGCAGCGAAACGGCACTTCTCAGGGTATGCCCAATCCATCTCCACTTTCTTCCGCATATTTGTCAGGCGATGAGTTCTTGGCTGGTTCGTTGCCAGCCAGAGTTCCTTGTTGCTTATTCTTATTATTCTGGCCATCTGATCTTGAGTATCGAGTGAGCGTAGGCGGCAGCTGTTGATGAATGTCTGCAGCTTGTTGGAAACGCTTTTCGTAACGCGCCAAGTCTCTCAGCCATCACATAGAAGCACTGAATTGACATCAGTGTTGAAAATCCGGGTCCTGTTCCTTGTGATTAGTGCAGCCGATCTCCACACTGGTTTCAGCCTAATGAAGGCCTGTCTTGCTTTTCCGATCCTGGCTTTGACATCCTCATCTGCGCTGCCACCTGTAGTTGAGATGATTCTGTCTAGTTAGGTGAAAGACTACTTCCTTTAGGTTTCTCTCGCTGGTGGTGATTAGTGTTTGTTGTTATTAGTTGGGTATCTTCATCACCTCTGTCTTCCCTACGTTCACTTGAACTCCCGTCTTCGCTGCCTCTCATGTCAACCTGTTAGTTTTTGACTGTAGATCTTCAAGTTTGCGCGACATTAGGCACAGATCATCATCGGTGAAATCCAAATCTCCTAGGGTCTTTTCATCGGTCCAGCCTGCGCATGCCTATCTTCTCGTTCCTCACAGGTTTTTGCACGGTCCAGCCCACCAAAATAAGAAAGACCATCTGTGATGGTAGGCGGCATCCTTGTCTCACCAATATCTTTGTTTCAAAGGCGTCAGTGAGTTTTCCATTGTGAATCACTTGGCACGTGGCGTCGTCATATAATTTTTGAACGAGGTTGATAAAGGTTTGCGGTATTCCGTGACGTTGAAGCAGTTGCCTGATTACCTCTCGGTCAACGCTGTCGAAGGCCTTTTCAAAGTTGATGAAGTTGAGAGTTGACTGCCATCCTATACTCCGTTCTACGATGATGCGTAGAGTAGCGTTGCAATTTGATGCACACATGATTTGTACTTCCTGAAGCCAGCCTGTTCCGGTCGTACTTTTGAATCAAAGCGCATATTTTAGTCTCTCCGGGATGATCTGATTTAATATTTAGCTAGGTGTGGACAGGAACATGATTCTGCGCCAGTTCTTGCAAGGAACTAGGTCTCCCTTTTTTGGGAGTGTGACGAGGTAGCTCTCCTTCCAATCGACAGGTACCTTTTCTCCCTCCCAAACCTTCTGCAGTAGTCGTGTGGGCATGTCCTCTGTTGTCTCTGCCTCGGTTTTCAGTGCTTCTGAAGGAATTCCATCTGGTCCTCCTGCTTTCCCAGCTTTCAGTAACTTTATGGAGTTCAGGACTTCACTTCTGCTATTATCGGAGAGTTTGTGTTCACTGACAGTTCTGTGGCTGGGTCGCTGGTGGTATTTCTGGACGAGTT